ATTTTAGGTTTAAGATGAAATTATTTAATTACCAGATAATGATGTATAATTAATTAGGGAAGGTCTACTATTTTTTAGCAATAAGAACTTCAAAAATTTAAATTGGTCAGTGATGACTATTAACTATTAAATTTCTGATATTTATTATCCAGTTGTGGTCAGTAGAAAATTTATGTCAGTTTATATTGAGTGATAAAATTTTCTTCTAGCATTGGAATGAGACTACCATATCGAATGAGACTAGTTGATATAATATGCTAATAGTGTATCTAAATTTAATCTAAGCTAATTTATTAAAATATAGTTGTGTTCTATTGTTTTTTTATGGAACCTTTTTCATTTTTTTTTCCAACATTGTTTTCCACACTGAATTCAAATTACTTCTAATAAGCACTAATCTTTTTTATCATTTTGTGTGTGTTATTCGTAGTTTTAAAGAACTTCAGTTATCATTATTAAATTTTTATTTATAATGTAGAATATTTGTTTCCACTTTCTGGTATTAATCCCATTTTATCCAATGATTTTTTTTTTTTTTTTTTGTATTTATTATGACATGCTTCATATATCACGCTTATGTGCTGGTATTTATTTTTGAACTTTTACACTAATAAAAATTTATATAACAAAGTAAATGTTTAAAAATTTCTTCTGTTATAAATAATTAAATGGCAAAAACCAAAAAGCTTCTTATTTGTTATTATTGCCTTGTGTAAGGCATTTTATTCTCCTGTCGGCGATAAGTTTATTATATCAAGGAGCAGGCTCAGAATCCTAAGCTCAGAGGAGCATTGCAAAAGCAGCTCTCCTGTTGTCTATCTTTAGCCACAACTGAATTTTACAAAATTCGCTTAAACATCCACTTCTCTGGTCTACATGAATGGATGGTTTAACTTTAATACTCCAAAGGTCGCTAGCCTTAGGTTCACATTGAAGGTTGTTATGGGTCTGTGAGATCCACTTCACTAAATCAATTTATTGATAAAAAATACCAACAACTTCTCATTCTACTAAACAAAAAAAGATATAAGATGAGTTTTTAAATATATTTATTGAGTAAAACACAGCTACATAATTTAAAAAAAATATAATAAATTAAAACAAAAATGACAAAATTAGGAACTTGAACATTAAATTCTGTATACCATTAAATACAAACACAAAAATCACTGAATACTAGAAACAATTATAACTGGATTAAATGAGATACAAAAAAAATTAATACAAACATCATCACAACATGAACATCAGCCTCTAAAGGACTCCTTCATTTCTCATTGATAGTCAAGTTTGCGGACCCTGTGTGGCAGCAATGCCAGATAGGATGAAAAAAATAAGAAAAAAAAAGTCATGTCTGCTCCAACTGAATACCAAGATCGGCAGTTTCTGGCAGTAAACTTCAACTATGTCCCGCCCAGATGCTAGTCGCTCCATTTCTTTACATTGTTGACGTGTTTCTCGGTTGTGAAATTATAGGGATCAAAGTAAAAATCGAGCATAGTGTATTCATAGTGGGATGAAATATTTCGATTCCAAACTTGGAATGACATAAATCATCCAGATTTTTTCCCCAGCTTAATGCATTCCTGCAATATATAACAGTCCAGTAAAGGCTTTGATTTCTATTATATCAGTTGCCATTGTATCCCTTTCCCGTGAAAATATTTCATCTATACCGTCAATCCTCAAATTTTGGCACAGGCCACCAATACGTGGAGGAAGGATCCTCCTCTCCCATGCAGTATAAAAATACATCAATTAGACGACTCGACGGATCTCTCAGATTCAGTGCGACCTGCGGAGTGTTAAAGATTTTATTCTCAATTCTATTAGTTTTTGTTAGCTTTATTGCCCCTGCTTTTATTTGTTTAGCCTCAATTTCATGTTAATTGTATGTTTCTGTTAACAGTTATCATCATTCAGTTCTGGAACTGTAAATCAATTCTGTGCTGCCATCTTATGGATGGTATAACAACACTTCCGAAATTCCAAAGGCTTTTAGAGAAACTCTTCAGTATTTTTCAAACCTTATTTTATCTGTTGTAGTTATAGGTCTAAGAAGGGGTACTCAATGTTTATATATTTTGTTTTGTTGGACTTTAGATTTTATCAACTACTATTTCACATTCCAAAACTTATAGGATAGAATGAAAAGTAAATTTTATTTAATTTAACTCTTATATATGTGTGATAACTATAGGCAGTATTTTACATTGTGTTCATAACCTACACAAATCAGCGCTAACATGTATATATGTTATTTTATATTTTAATGACTGTTTAAATTATTAATAAAAGTTATTAAATATATATTACTCCATTTTTCGTTAATAGATGCAAGTTTTGTATGTTTTAAATGTTAAAAGTGTATGACTGTTTACAATAAATACATTTCATTAATGGATACACGTTTGATCTTTCACAGCTTTTTAAAACAAGTACTTAGATCAAAATTTTAGGATTACATTTAGAAAGTTATCGATTTAAAATTGTAAAGTTGTTGTCTTTAAAATTTCTATTTATAAGTGTTATATCTATTAAGTGGTATGTGTAATCCCCAAATTATTGGTGAAATTTAGATCAGGTTACTGAAACTTTTACTTAGCCCATCATTAGGTTCTATCCAATAAAATTTTAATCTGTTCATTCAAGGTCTTTTTATATGAATGTTAATCTATGGAAAATAGATTAGAAAAAGGTGTTTCTTGTTCATATAGAAGTAGAACCGTTCTATTTAAAAAGAAAATTGGTGTTTTCTTTCATAACTTTTGCGTTTATCTTATTTTTATTTTACTATATTGTTTATAAAAATATTTTCATTCAAGTAAAAAAATAATAATAATAAATAAAGTATTACCCATTTCGTATTATTCAATGGCCTAACAAAGTGCTAAAGAGAAACCAAAGAAAACAATTTCTTTTAAAACCGTGATCCTGGAAACAGAAGCACAGCAACGAATATTACAGATTTATAAAATATAATATTTTTATACCTGTTAAATTAATTCCTAAATGCTCAAGGTTATAGATTTATTTTAAGAATAAATAAGAAAAAAGTTTTTAATTGTTAGTTGTTTAGTGCTGAGTTAAGGGACCATTTTTAAAATATGGTGTGATTTTAAAATTACATTTACAGGGTTTGATTAGAATTGTTTTATTTATATAAATATTTAATGGTACTTAAGGTTTTGAAAATAAGAAGATTTTATTGTCGTTTATGAAATAGTTCAGAGTATATATAGATAGTTGTTATTATTGACAAATTATAGAACCATTAAAAGGGAGAACATGCTCAACCTATGAAGGAAAAAAACAAAAGAATTTAAATTAATTAACCAATCTTTTAGAAGTTGTGATGGAACTGATGTTGCGAATTTCCTAAAAGTTATTTTATATTGATCATATTGCTAAATCTTTGGTTTTTGTGGTGTGGTTATTTTTAAAATAATTAAATAAAATGCAACACAATCATTTACTAGTTTATTTTCACTGTCTTGCAATCCCTTGTTCTTCATCGATCAGAACAGCACTGTTTTTTATTTTTTATAATGTATGTTCTTGTTCTTTGGTCATAGAAAAATTATAGGGGTTCATAGCTGGTGAATAGAACACAGGTTTTGACTGATAATGCACAAAAGATTAAATTCCATGGTTTTGTGAGTTGTTTACAATCATTTCTCATTCCTTCAATGATGCATAACTTTCTGTGACGGATTTTCTTGATTTCATAAATTTCCACCTTGATAAGTAGCTCTTGTTCATGTTTTTCAAAACAAACTTATAGTGTAACACCAGATGAATCTTAATAATGACAGCAATAGAAAATGCTATTTGATATAGAGTTAGTTTGCTGAAAGATCAGTTAGGTTTTATTTTATTCTACATTTCTCCTAACCACACCACATTTATTGCAGTATAAAATTAAATTTTTCTCGTCTTATATCAAGACTGATCAGAAAAGGCGTTGAATAATATTTTTTATATTTATGAATATATATGTTAAGTATGTTTTATCTGTTCCTGGAGGTTTGCTTCTTGAATTTTTTTTTTTGCTAGCTCTACAATATTTTAAGAGACCTATTTTGGATTACTATTTTCATTTCAGGTAGGAGTTACCCTTTGTACTGTAAATATTTTCAGAAAGCATGATTTATTCTTACTAAAACATTCCCAATATCAAAGAAATTGTTTAGTTTATTTCCTCATGTTATCAATGTGGAGCTTGTAAACTTTAACTATATGTGGCCATGACCTTATTTGTTTATTGGTTATGATTCCTTTTTTATATATATATTTTTTGTCACTGTTTTATTATTTTGTTTTGTTGATTTGTTTTATAACACAGGTCATTATAGATCCTTATTTAACTGCTGTGTTTACTAATTGTAATTGTGATTTATTAGTTTTTCTTTAGATTCTCCTTAAAAACAAAAGCAAAAAAAAAAAATAATAATAATAAATAATAAGATAAAATTAAATAAAAAATATTCTGTATAAAGTTAATAAATTTTGAAGTTATCTATGTAATTACATATTGTTGGCGTCCTAACTAGGACATCAAATTATTGTGTATATTTCTTTATTTTATTTTAGCCTTAAGCATTTTCGTCATATTGATGTGCAATCAAATTGTTACTGTTATTTTGATGTAAGCTGTACCAAAAACTTTACATGTATAAATTTTAATATTACAGATAAATGTTTTAAATGTGTTATTGACTTTGTTGTGTTCCCTTGTCCTGATATCTTTATATTTTTTTCTCTTTGTTATATTTTTCATATATATTTGAAATTTATTGCAATATTTCTCTATTTGTTTATGTAATATTGCTTGTGCTATTTCAATTTTTTTTTGGGAGGGGGAGGGAATAAAAGTTAATAATTTTACGTGTTCTTCATACAAAGGCACAACAAGTCAATAGCAGAATTTGAGACTTAAGAATTTTGTTTTAAGATCAATTTAATTGGAATAATTGACATGTTGTGTCTTTGTGTTGTAGCTATGGCATGGCTGATATGGATTATGCAGAACTATTAGGTGTGGAAATCACTGGGATTGAAGAATCTCTCGACATGAGTTTCCATGAACTTATTCAAGCTCCCTACACAAAGTAGACCTCTACAGTTGTCTCTTTAAACATAACTTTCTTACTAGACAATCTCATTTATAGCTTCATGTTTCTGATTTTATATTTCCTCATTTTGTTTTTTACTTCTTATCCTCAGATTATGTGCCATTGTTCTTGGTATGATTTTAGATATGATCATGCTTTTACTAACCTATTTTAAGACCACTCAATAGTGATCTTAAGAAAAAAGCGTCTTCTTTGTGGGCTTTCTATTTTTGTATTGTCCTCCATGTTGAAAAAAAAAAAATTGTTTGTTGAAAACGCTGATTAGAGCGTTTCAAAAATTTAAAATTTTGAGCAGTGACATTTTCTAATTGGTTCACTGTTCTAAGTGATAGCTCATCTTTTTAAGCCTTAATAAATATATTTTGTAAATTAGTTGTAACAAACTGATACGGTGCCATTTAATAATTAGAAGTGTCTTAGAGATATATTTTATTTTTTTTATTGTAGCTATTAAAAAAATAGATCAATTACCATAATTAAGTATCTTTAATTCTCTATTGTTTATTTCTTTGATGATTACTAAATTTTATTTGTTTTACATATTTTAATTTGGTTTCAATATGTATGTTTCTGAAACATTTACATTGTCTGTTTCTTTTGGATCTTATGACTTTTATTATTGGGAGTAGGATTGTTGTTATTGTTGGTTTTACGTAAATGTTTTGGTTAGTTGTTTCTGTGATATTATGCTCTACGTTAATATGCTAATTTCATTTATTCTTTTAAAAAAAGTATATATTTTTCAATCAAGTCTTTCGAGGTGCTTTTTAATAGGTTACTTTGACTAATATTGAATAGTTTGTTGTTCTATGTAAGGTAACAATCACTATATTTTGAATGCACCAGTAAGTGCATTGCTAGCATATTAAAAAAGAAAATGTATTCAGCACAAATTTCTAGTTGAAATTTTTGTTGTTTAATATATATAGCCTTTCTTATGCTTCCACTTGACAAAAGTAATATTCTAAAAGAAATTTTGCTAGAGAAGTTTTATTATCTAGATACATATAAATATGAATGTATGTAGAGATTTATTGAAATGTTACAAATGATGTTATATTGTGTATAAATATATAATTTATATTAAAATACAGCACAGTAGAGAAGATTGGAATTGAGTCAATTTAAAGCCTTCTGTGGAATAACTGGCCTATAGTTTTATTTTTTTGACTTAAATATTTTCAGTTAATGGCTGATTTTGTGCCTGTTAATGAAGGTAATATTGTTACCAGTTTGAACGAGGCAAAAATGCAAGAAAGAGAGAAAAGTTAAAATGCTCATATTTTAATAAAAAATTTTTACCATATTTGAAATTTTTATTGAATATATAACTGTTCTTGCTTCACGATAAAAATATTTTAGAGCATTCAAAATTATTTGATTTCAATTGTGTTCCAATTATCGATCATAAAAATTACATTTTTGCCTTGTAGATTAGTTACAGCCTAGGTGTATTTCAATAAAACAAATGTGATTTTAAATGTTGCAATATTCTAAAATTCTCCCCTTTCCTGCTACTAGTTGCCTTATCTAAATAATAAATAAAGTGAATATATGTATGAATGGTGTGATTAATAAATAATTCCAAAGCCAGCCAAAAAAAATTTTTTTTATATATACATATAATCTCAGTACAATTACAATTGACTTAGTAACAACTATATACAGAGCACAACTAAACCCTGAATAGGGATAAAATAAATTTTTATGACCAAAATAATAAAACAAAAAAACATTAATAAATATGTAATCTCATTACAATTACAATAGAATAATTAGCAACGAATGATGTACATGCAAATATGAACATCTGATCTATGTTTAAATACATTTGTTTAAAACTAAAATACATAGTTTGTATAAATAAATGTTAGGAATATAATCAAAATACATTTTACTTACTTAAGGTATAATAATAATAAAACAGTCTTCAAAGGAGAAATTATGTTCTTTGCCTTAATTAATAATTTTTTCTATAATTTATAAATAATATTATTTAGTTAAATTGGTAACATTTTATTTCCAGCTATCATAGTGGAGAACAAGAATAAACTAGTGGGATAGTAATAACCAAGGCATAGAAAAACATAAGAAAGGAAAATAATGAAGACCAGCTTAGCTGGAGCATCACCTATTTTTAAGAACAAAAGTAGTTCATTTAAAAAAGGAACTTAAAAGTTTAATAATAATTTTAAAAAACATAACCTAATAAAATCTAAATAATAATTTACTACTTGAAAATTTGGCTACGAAGCTTAGCCATTTATTTATACTAAAATGTAACAAATAACAAAAATAAAAAAAACTAACTAAAACAAAATAAAATAATATTTACAAACATTAATTAAATTTTTTAAGGAAAAAATTATGAAATTAAATATATATTAGGTTCATTTATCTTTTGTAGGACTTTCTGGGTTTCTGTTTTGAGAATTATTGGCACTAGTGTTTTGGTTTTGCCTAGTAAAAGTTAACCGAAAGTTACGGAATATTCTTGTAGAAGGAGCTTCATCATCTTCATTTCCGTTATTACAGCTACGCTTGGGGTTCTGTTCATCTTCACTTTCACTTGAAACCATCTCAGTGCTGGGCCTTTTGGTGGTTTCTGGATTAGTTGGCAGACTGGTGTTTTCTACTTCAACTTGCCTAAAAATTGCAATAAGAAAAAATACATTATAATGAAAATAATAACATTTTATGTATATATATATATATATAAACTGTGGACTACCCACAATTATTTCCGAGTGCTTATCAATCATATTTAATGAGTCAAGCTGTAGAATGTGTAGTGACCTAGTTCATAGGCCACCCTAAAAAATGTTTACAATCAAATAAATTATCATTAAACAATGTAATAAATTTTCCTGTATTTTTTTTTTTGTAATGACAATAGTAGATGAGCACATAAAAGTGTATTACAATAATGTGCTGATTTAGCGTAATCATCTCGGTAGGGCACTCGCAGTCCATTCCAACAACCAACAGATGGTGGAAAAAAAAATCTTAATCTTTAGTTAGAAATATATGAGGTGTTTACTTATATTTATATTAGCAATATTTTATTTATCCGATTCTTTATATTTGAACTTTTCACTTCTCCATTACAAATGTTAACACTACAATAATACTTTTCTTTTCTATTCAAATTACTGCCAAGAAACAATCTTTCTATTTTTTTAAAGCAATATCTCTAATTAGTATATTATGATAGCTAGAGATTTGAATAGTAATTAATGGAACAAATTGTAAAGAAAATAGTCTCTGTAAATTAGATTGATGAGAATAATTTAAAAAATCAGTGTTTGGAATGTGTGGTCACCATGCTGACAGTTTCGAGTCTTGGAACAGAAAAATAATTTGTTTTCCTTTTTATCAATGTCAAGACGGTATGACGGTATGTGGATCTAATGGTTTGAACGTGGCCTATCAGATAGGTCCATCCAATATTCATTCCATAACTCGACTCATGTTTCACGTGAACAACAGCTCTTCCTGTCCTATCAGGAAAACCACTACAAATTTGTATTCAAGGCCCTGGGTATTGAAGGATTATTAAAGGAAGGAATACAAATATGATGAAACCTAATTAGTTTAATATTTTTGTTTATTTTAAGAAAATGGTCAACTTACAAAGGTTCTGGAGTCCAGGTGCTGGGGAGGGTGCTTTCATCGTGGTAATGTACAGGAGGTATCAATAAGTTACCTCTATTTGTATCCTCTTCTGCTGTAATCAGTTAATTATTATCAATATAAATATCACTGCTGCTAATACCCATTTTGCCTATCAGGCATGGTAGGGTTGTAAATAATTACGTAAATAAATTATCTGCCAATATTGATTAATTAAACATTTAATTTTTAAAACGTAAACATTAATTTATTGATAGTATAATGAATTAAATTATTCTCTGTTTGTTCTACTATTACTTTGGACATGACAAAGGTATGGTGGATATAGACCCAATCTCTAATTACTCTAAAAGCACTTAATTAGTACAAGTGGGCCTTAGAGAATAATTCACATTGAATATTGGTCAGTGAAAAACTGACAAAATAATGCAGTATCTTTAAGATGGAAGAATCAATTCTTATTTACTCGGTAAATTTGATAAACTAAGGAAAATTATTTTAAAACTTTATACATGTTTATAAATTACAATAAACTGCATCATCTTTACTAATAGTAACAATATTTCGATGACTTTTTTTTTTTAAAGTAATTTAGTGTCTATTAAATAATTATGGTTGTAATCCAAAAAACAGTATCTGTTTTGTGTTATTTTCAAATAAAGTTTCTTTTGTTTCATATAATTTTTTCCTTTAGAGGGCTATGACTATTTTTCTGACCTTATGAAGAAGAAAATCTTCAAAATGAGTACTCAATCATTGTATACGTTTTATAATAAAAAAAAATAAAGATATGACAAAAAAACATCTTTGAAAGATAATGTATGAAGATGGTAATTTTTCATTTCCACCAATAGAATAAACAAGAGATCAAATAGCTTATACACAAGCAATTCAGTATGTGATGATTTTTTTTAATCGAAATTTACAGCTGTATTAAATAATAAATACAAGTAAATATGAAACAAGTAACATGACATGTACAACATGAAGAGAAACTACCCAGTGGTAGCACTCCAGTGATGATTTTAGGTATGCTAGTTATACTTACTAAATACATTATAAATGTTTTTTTTTAGTGTATTCTTTTGATTTAATTTATTTTTTTAAATAACACCGAAATACATCATGTTCATAATCACGAAATGCTTTACACAAAAAGATTTACTAGTGATAGTACTAGAGGGATGTTTAATAGCCCATTTAAAACTTATTATACGGTCAATTATTAGAGATGTAACATGAAAACTTTAAAACAATAAATTTTGATAATCTCTCAAACATCTCCCTCTATGTACTCAAACATATGTTATTTAGAACTATTTCGGTTAAGATTTATTCCAAATTTCAAGATGGAGAAATGATAAGACCAAGTGTAGATAAAATCTAGATATTAATTAAGTAGATAATATAAAATAGACTAATCATATAAAAAGAATATTTGATCTGATTTCCAGTTTAAATCATAACTTATATAAAAATATTCACTCATCATCTCATTATTTCTCCACCTCAAAATTTAGCATGAATTTTAACCTATAAATGGAATAACATACATTTAAAAAACTAAGACTGTTGAGATTTTCAAAATTTCATTAGAGTACCAACTTACGGAGAAATATACTAATTGGAATAAAGATCTTTTCTTGAATAAAATTCAATTATACACATTACACTAAATTATATACTGTTCATTTTAACTAGGTAATGTGCTTTATATTATTTAATAAACGTTTTATTCAAGAAATTACTGTATTTAATTATTATTGAAGTAGTAGATGATGTTTACCTTCTTGACTATCAGGATCTTCTTCGTCATCTTCATTATCATGTGTATTGGTCACATTCTCTATATTCCTATAAAAAAAAAAAAAAAAAGCTCAAACGTTTTAGTCAATACTTCAAAAAATAATAGCTTGATAAAATTAAGGATAAAATTTAAATAAAGACTTATATTTTTTAAACTCTGGTGTGGTGTATCACATAACTTTCACTTGTCACCCTACTTTATATAGAATTTTTTTTTTAACTTTAACAACATCACTTTAATTATAAACACGAACTTACAATTAATATAAAGAATATAAATTCTGTGCCCTTTATATTTTCAGTTTGCCAATTTATTTTTCATGAAAATTCCATTCAGTTTCCAAGAAAACATGAAATAAATGTTTCATACCATTATTTCCATTTAATAATGGACTATAATAACAAAAGCAGACATTGTATACTACACCAATTTAAATTCATTATTTTTTCATCACTTTCCCTTTTCAACAATTTAATGTCTTATATATAAATAAATAAAATAAGTTAAGAGCTGAGAGAGGTTGAGCAGTATCATATTTGACAAGAGTACGCATCACCCTATTATTGACTCTGGCTCTTCCAGTCTCCATCTCAATCTAACATATGTTCTTCATCACTTAAATACCATAGAAACTCAAATTTTTACATTTTTTTTTTTTTCATAGGAGTATTCATTTCGATTTTGTCAGAAATGTAGAGGTCATTTGTATTTCAGAGCCTCTCATAAGCAAAGTTCAATCTACCCATAAATCATTATAAAAAGGGAATATAGTCATTGTGGCTATTGGAATAAAAAACTAGTCCTTCTAGCCTAGGGAAACCAAAAATCAGTATAATTGGTTAAAATCCAATTTTTCACATAAGCAATGTTTCAGTTTAAGAAGCTATGTGAATACTAAATTTAACAATCAGTAATAAGAGGACTTGAATTTTGAAAATCAAGTATTGACTCTTATTTAATTGTTCTGAACATTATTATTCTTTATGGGTCATGCAAAAACATCCAACATTTATAAAGTTTATAATTTTTCAATATCCTCTACGCTAATCAGAGATTAGCTCTTTTCCCAACTTTAGACATTTTTCTAAAAAGATGGCTATTTAAAACTGATGACAGGACACAAAATGTCTCCCAGAAATTGATTCCCTTTTAGATTCCAGACTTTCATGGATTCCAGAATGTTCATTGGAAGAATGGTATAGAGGCCAAAGAACGAATTCGGATTAATTAAAAAAAATATCTTATATCTATTTATATTTCATTAATATCAAACAAAAATATTAGAGATTTTATTTTATGTAAAAATTTATTTACTTAAATTAAATTGGAAGACATAGTATGGGGATTCAAGGAAATTTTAGACCTACCGATCAATAGTAACAGTAAAAATATGCATTCATTAGTAAGGATCAAAACTGATGTACTTACTCATCTTCATAATCTGGTCTCCTGAAGATAGCAGACTCCACTAATCGGCAAGTTTCAGGGTTTTTAACTTCAAACATATAATCGCTACACTCAAGGGGCTGTTTTATTTCAACCTTATATCGACAACAATCTTCGGTATTCCTATCATTTTCACATAAATCGTTCCCACAAGTTCTGAATGGATCTGTTGAACAAAACATTTATTTAATTATGAATCAAAACTACAATAAAGAATATTGAACTAAAATAATTCCTTCTTCCAGAGTATTAGTTTTTATTTAAAGGTTTGAAGCCAAACCCGTGCATTAATTTGGTGAAATAAGAAGCATATATGACTAATCTAATGTGCAATATGATACAGTGTTTTTTCGCTACCTTATCTCACTTAATTTGAGCTTTATACCGTTAGATTAAAACTTATGACATATGAATTGATATATTTCTTGAAGAGAGAAGCATTGATAAATCATTTCACTTAAGTTTCAAGAATACCTAAAACATAATTTAAAAAAAAATCACACTCAGAAAATAATAACTGGAAAAAAAAAAAAACAAACACAGTACTCTTGGAAATACCTTCCTTTATTAAAACAAATAATTAAGGTTTTCGGCCTAGAAGCATTTTGTTAATATTTATTTCTTTTTTTGGTTCACAGAAAATCCATATTTTTCCGTTTTAGTTCATAAAATTACTTAAGAATCAAAAACAACTTTTAAAATTGTCTTTCTCATTCTCTATATATTATTTATCTATTTTACATTTACTTATTGGATAAAAAAGTTTAATGAAAGTTATAATTTTTTTTTCATTTATGAAATAATGGAGGATTCGTCATATTAATTAATAATAATGCTATTTTGTCCATGCAATTAGAACATGTTTTATAGCAGGATAAAATAACGATGGACCAACAGTTCGGCCAGAATTATCAAGAAAAACAAATTTTATCAATAAAATATGATAATTGAGCCTTTTGAATGCAAAAAATTATGTAAGTAAAAAAAAAAAAAAATGGATATTTGAGATATTCAAAACTTTAGGAGAATTTCAATGAAATAAGATATAAAATAATAATAGATATTTCTTTGTAAGGAATAACATCTTAATATCACAGGCCAGTCTTTACCATTTTTAAAAGCATGAAGTTAATAATTAATTGATTTTCTTTATTTAACTGACTTACATCACTTTAGCATCCAATTAACAGTTATCCAAAGCAATACTAAATTAATATCACTCAACCATTGTGAATGTTTACTCAAATTATTTTGTAAAATTCAGCAATCTCTTTCTGCCATTTTCATGAGTCTCTAAAACGTAACTCAACCAATGTTATTCTCTTATAGTAGAAAGGTAATTTTTTTTTTTTTTTTTTCATAGAAGATGAACTTATTCTGAGAGAAGGTTCCATAAAAATAATAAATATGACCAAATAAAAAAAAAAAGTAGCTGGTCAAGAGCATTGTGTTTAGGATGTGAGAAGGTATTGGTAAAGAAGGTATTTGAATGAGGATATGGAAGAGGTGTGGCAGATATTTGATAGCAAAGAATTTCAGAAGGCAGTGGAGCAAACAGGAAAGATCATTTGAAGGTTTTAGTTTTGAGGGAATGAATATAAAAAACACAGGATCTTCTTTTCTTTGAGCAGACCACGGGTTTTAATTATAAGAGAAAATTTGAAATATTTTAGTACTCTAAAATACTTTTGTTAATAACTATAGCTCATCAAGATCAGAGGTATGAATAATAACAATGTTTTAAGTCTAATAATCTCAGAACAAGAATCAGTTACTATCCTACAATTTAATGTACCATGTTGCAACCGTGTGTTATTTTTTCATTTTAATTGTTGATTGATGCAAGATACACTTACCTACACTACTATATGCAGGAAGAATGGGTGCAGACGGTTCATAAACATCAGAATTATTTAAACTTTCATTATTGCTTGAATGGTTCATTGGTCTTATCTCTGTTTCATCAGGTCGAATAATATCTAAAATTATAAAAGAAAAATTAAAAAATATACAATGCCTAATTTAATACATATATTTTTTAAAATTGAAATTTCAATAATTCTATATAAGATACTTACGGACTGTTGGGCGGCGTACTGCTTTATACATAAAAAAACCAAGCATAAGTACCAATGTACATCCTATGAACCCAATAAGGTAAGTTGGAATTGGAGAAAAGCCTAAAAATACATTAAAAATATAAATCGAGTAATTAACTTTGTCCTTAAAATTTAATTACAATTATCAATTCCGAATAACTAAATATAGACCATTAGTTAGTACCTTCAGGAGAGGCTTGATATCCAGAATACTGAGAAGGCGTTGGCTGATGTGACAAAATACATGAAGCTCGTGTGGTACCATCACTGAAATATTCTTCTTCATAGCTGGAAGTAAAACATTGGGAAATGTTTTCATTAAAAGAGGGATACAAATATTTTATAGATTATAAATATTTTATACAGTCTCTATAGTGGATTCTCTTCATTAATTAAATTACTCGTTCCCGGTCTTCTGATATATAAACGGGCCCACCGAACCGCTGCTTTAGACAAATCGTTCATTATCCGATCCTCATCCCTATGGAACTCCATTTCTTCCCACATCCATCAATCAGATACCCTTCCTGCCTTTAAATCCCACCTGTTCAATTATTTCTTACCCATCTAGTCCCCATAAAATTTTAAGTAGATTTTTTTGTTATTAACTGATCAAAATTAGAAAGTAACTTATATATATATTCACTAAGTCTATTCAATTACTCTGTATTTTTATTTATGTGTCTCTGAGGCTCCTTAGCCCACATTTCTGTCTTGCTCTATTATTCAAAAGGGACTCGTCCCAGAATAAATAAAGTATTATTATTATTATTAAATAATTAATCCAGAGGATATTGTTGGCGGATGATTGTGATTGCGGTCATGATCACCTCTTTGCACCGGCATTGGCCAAGAAACAGTAATTCCTTACAAAGTACTGAATCCAAGTCCTACAAGGTAGTGAGTGATGTATGATATACTATATGGTTTTACATTTTCATTAGATAGTATTAATTTTATGAAGATTTATATATGAATTTACTAGGCTCTTTATAAACAGAGTATGTAATTATAATTGAAAACAGAAATATTCACAATTAAATGTAATTTGATATTAAATATATGCATGTATCTTCATTATAATATAAAATTGATTTAATAGTTAAATTGTAATTATCATTAGTAACTTAATAATAATACAATGTTACTGTTTAGGTTATACATCATCAGTTTATTGCATATGGGTTATTTCAGCTAGAAAGTTAAAATAAGTAAAAGAATTGATCGAAGAAAGTATTTAAATCGTACTACTTGCTTTTGTTTTGTTTTTTAATTATAGAAAGCTTGCAATATTTATGTAAGTCTAAGACAAAACAAATAAAAATTTTTACCCAGACAAACATGGTCCACAATCTGTCGGCTCAGTATGACATTTCTTCCAGGAGGAATCTTTTCGATGGAATCTGCTACAAAAATTCGGTATGCATTCAGCACAAACATTAGTCATACTATAACAATAATGATTCGCAGGGCAGTCACCATCAGTTTTACAGGACTGAAATCAGAAGATATAAATAAATCATATGTATAATGAAATTTTATTAGTTTAACTAAAATCAACATAAAATTAAAAAAAAAACTCAAAATCCTCACTCCTTTCTTTCTTAATCAGCTGTTTATGGGACTTAGTAAATATTTTAGTTTACTTGTTATTAGAGAATATAAATATTTGGTGGATTCCAAAAGTGTCTTGCCTACCTATTCATTAAGTAAAAACTATTTCTTTAACTTGAAATAGCATATAATCTTCTTTCAAGATCTATTTTATCATAAATACAATCAATAGTACAACTTGGCAATGTGCAATACTAGAAAATGTGATGAGGGATTAAACTTAAGGAGGATGGGGATGAAATATCTTTCATCAAACTGAATTTTTCATGTTTGTTCACAAATACCGAGACCCATAAAAACGAATTTAAGGGAATGCTGGTCTCAAAATTATGATACCATGCTGCAAACCTGTGCATAGTCTGGATTTTACTTTGGAGGAAGTTTATGATTTCATAATCCTAATATTTTTTCCTCTTCCTTTGAATTTGAGAAGGAATTAACTTCATTATTCAAAATGAGTTATCCCTTTCTAAAAATGAGTGATTCATTTATATTTCATGCACAAATATTGATTTTGTGAAATACAATAAAAATTTTTTAAAAAATTGACCCAATACACAATGTATCTTGTACATACTGACTGACTACTTATGGCAAAACCCATATTAATTCAATCTTTTTTTATATAAATGCAAACATTTTCTTTGAAATATGTGAATTTTGTATTTTTCATTGTTTGTCATTTCAATATTTCTGTGTTATTCTGTTTAAAATAAGCGTCTTTCAAGGTTAAAAAAAAAAATAAAAATCGTTTTTTGTAATTGTTTCCACCAATTTTAAGATGGTTGACAGATTTATCCCATTTCTACAGCAATAATTCCCCAGGACAATTTTTTTTTTCTTCTTTGCTTTGGTGCTATATTTTCCCAGGTTGTGAAAAAAAAAATATTAAAACTGGGTTTAAGATATTTTGAAGATTTTATCAAATATTTCAATCAAATGTCTCTTTGAAGCTCTTTAAGTTCTGTAAGATTCATAATATTCATTGATAAATAATTTAATCTTACTACATATGAGCAATATAATAAATCACATTCATAATATGTATATGTGTTAAACAAAAAACACTTATCAGTAAATAAAAATAGAATTAACATAAAATTAAAATTATGACCCCCTAAAAACTACATTTCTTGAGTTTATATAAAATGGTTCTGTAGTTAATGAGAAACAAATATTTCATAGGCTAAGGAAGCATTTATTTTTTTAAATTGAATTTTAGGAACTAAAAACGTTTAAATTAAGTGAGACATCAAAAACTCTTATTCAATGAAACTCCATACTCCTTTTCAACTACAATAGTTGTAGAATTAATACAATCCTCTACATCACATAACAGGGACAACAAGACCTACTACTGAAATGATCATGCACAAATTGATCACCTTCATTTTGGTTTTACAGCCCCCTGTGTTATGGTGTTTATGGTGTGTTAACAGTCTAGCTCAAAAATGAAAAGTCGTATGGAAGTGAAATTGTATATTTAAGGTTTTTATATGCTAGGGATGTTACAGCAACTTTTTCATCAAAATCGATTTACCGGAAGTGGCACTTTATATAATGCACTACACACAGTTTTAGGTTTATCTCAAAAACTGCTCCAACGATTTTGATTAAATTAATCAAATCAGTGTAAAATTAAGCAGTTTTAAATAAAATGTGGTTATTATTCTGATTGACGTTCTCTAACAGGGCTTAAATGGCTAATTTTCAATATTAGCTTTCTCTAAAGTACCTTTAATTTTTTTTATTTGAAACAATTGACCATTTCACATTAATCTCTAATATAAAAGATAGTTAAATATAAAATATGAAAGAATTTGATAAATAAATTAAGGAGAAATAAGAGACCGTAACGGAGAATAGTGGTAATCGAGGAACCAAAGGAATACAAGCGCACTCAAGCTCGCCTGAAAGATTAGAACACCCTTCCATACGTATCATGACATTAATATAATACGGACTCCGACAATATTATATAAATATACATAAGTGGTTTTCATAAATGCTATTGTAGATATTATTTAATATTTATTTGAACAGGTTACAGTGATACAAATATTAAAATTTGTATATATGAGAGTACTTATACAAATAAAAATACCCACAATGAAACATATAAATGATAAATAAAATTTATTTCTCATCTATACTATTATATGAAAGAACAACCCGTTTTTCTTTTATAACTTATAACTTCGAAAAGTATTGAATCGATTCACTTGCGCATGTTTTACAAAATGATCCACGTTGTCCTCAGATAGTTTCAAGCTATTGAAATACCCGATCAGAATAGTAAAAAAGATATTCAACCTTGTTTATAGAATTTCGAAAGAATATTAACCATCGCTATTTACATATTGTTGTTTGTACATTATTATTGTAACAGGATTTGGCTGTAGTTAGTCCGTTTCTGAGGAAAGCTTCAGGCTTCGTCACATCACGCTACGCCCTATAGGAACGAGCAGTAACCATAGAGTTAATTTGGAAAACTGTAAGCAATTACGCTATAGCCCTGGAGTCAGGGCCCAAAAATCGACCTCGTCGCAGGCGAAGGTTTGATCCTAAATTGCGAAATTGTATGTTATTCTGAGTAAGAAGAACCTAGCCTGCCGTTTCATAGCTGCTGCTTTAAAAAAATGACAGCTGATTGAAAAAATATTAGGCCAGTAATTTGAGGATCGAGACGGGAAATCCATTGTGAAAAATATGAGAAAAGTTTTTATTTTTTTAATTTGTTTATATTGGTTTAGACATGTAAAAAACAAAATGGCTAACGAGGTCCACGTAAAAAGGTAAAACTTTTTACAGCCAAAAAAAGTCAGATTTTTTAAATATATTTTTGTTTTCACCTACAACTCCTAAACGATACATCAAAGCGATAAATGTACTCTTTAATAAATAATAGAACGTTAAATTGTGCGTCGAAAGAGTACATAAACTTTATGATTTGGTTACGTGATACCCCATCCTCTTCAGATGCTATTCAGTTAATCATAATCTTTATGAAATAGGCCAATGCATTACCCATATTTAATAAGTATAAAGACACAGGTAGTATGGATAACAAAATAGGTAAATAATAACCATTAATATTATTTAATTGTCAAAAGATTTTTATATATTACTTAGGACAAACAACATAAAATTACAATCTGTTGGAATAAATATAGCATTTCTTTTTTTTAAATTAATTTTTAACACGGTCTTTTATCGAAACATGCGCAGTTCTTTTATGTATAGAAGAAAAATCGAGTTTCAAAATAGTCACGAGTTTATGAAATATTAATAAAATTAAATTGAACAAATAATCTTCAACTTTTACACGTTTTTCCCAGTTAGATTTCTTATTTATTTATTTTTTAAAATGTCTCATTTCTATTATTTCTTTCATGCTCTCTTCACTCATTACATTGCAAATTCATTTAACTATTTTAGATGAATACTATGCTGGATAAGAACTAAGTTTATAAAGGTAACAATGGAGGGCTTACTTCTGCCTCATAATAGATATCGGTAAGTGATTTGAATTCTAACTAGAAATAAAAAATTTGCGATAAAACAAATGGTATATCAACTTGACCCTTCAATTTGACAAAAGAATAATTTGATTTATTTTACCATTTGTACTCTTTTATTTCAACACTTCAATAACTGATAATTTCACTCGGTTTTTCATTTTAACATATTCATCATATTATTTTAACAATATTCATGCCAAATTTTGAAATTTTTTTACTGCGGAAAATTCGGTATTTGTTATTTACAGTATTATAATAATTTTGTATGCATTAAAAAAAATTGAAAAACTATCCACGGAACATCATACAATTTTAATTCTGATAACTATTAAAAAAGTTTATACATAAGTGTATTAAGTTGGATTTAGGTTTATTGAATAACAAATAAAGAGGAGTTATCCTATAAAAAACAATTTTAAAAATAGATACTTTCAATTAATTACTTCTTAAATAATGTTTCAAATAACATAAACCTAAAACAAAGATCATGAGAAAGATAGATCAGGTTTGTAAACTAAATTATAACAGAACATAATGCATTATATTATGCTAAACGCAAATATTTAATTAAAACTTCGTACTTTAACTTTATCTTATCTATGGAAGGTTAATTGAAGCGTGGAGATGCAAATGAGGCATCAATTTTTAACATTTATCACTAAAACTTTTGACTTGTGAGGATTCAATCGAGAGCACATACAGAAAAATGAAACTTAATTTATACAAATTCCCGCCAATTTCAAACAAATATGGCAAAGAAGAACTAAAAAATATATCTCTGCCATGTATATACTGAAAAACAAAACTGCGTCAAGTCAAACTTTTTTTTTTTACTTTTTCCAGTAATTAGTTTCTAAATCAAAAATGGTCCTTTCCCGTGTTTGTGAAACTTATAACACTTCAAATTCTGTGTCGAACGAGTAATTAACGTTATTCGATTCGGAAAATGATCGAATTAGAATTCGTTAAACGACATTTTTTTTTCAATCAATTAAAAGCATACACTTTTTTAAGTTTTTATCATAGAAATGGCAGTTATACATTAATATTGTAACGTACTATAGACAATTACCAATAATAAAATATCCACCATCTTATCGGAATAGCAGGTTCCATCAATAAAACAATACATTTATTTTAAAACACAAAGATTTTTGAGCTTAGAACAGTACTTGAAAACTCGACTATCTAAATAATAGGAAACTTCTACAAGGAATCACTAAAACTGTACACACAGAAACAGACTAAACATTTATCCCTATACTACTGAGTAATCCTGTTTATTTACTATACTTTAACGACTTACTATATTATAGAATTATTATACTATATTTTAGAATATGTATCTTTGGTTTATACATTGTGTTTTATGTTTTTTTTTTTTTTTTAATAGGATTTACTGCAATTTAAAAAGATTTCTGCCTAATAAATAGCAATCATAACATTTGTAAGGTAAATGTGTATATAGCCCCAAGTATATTAACATTATTATGACGTAATGAATTGTAGTTGCAGCAATAAGTCAATAAATGATGATTTAAAAAAAAAATTGATAATCTTTCGAACACAAAATTTTAGAGCATCAAAGTAAACAACTTGTGTGACTCACTTTGTCATTATTTCCTTCATCACACAAATTCTATCTTGCTTATTAAATCAGATATTGACTTGTACATTGGGAAACGTATATCTTTTAGGCTGTGACAAATAGAAAAAATCCAAAAAAAAAGGCAAATTTTCATGTTACACCAACAGAAAAAATATGATTTATTTTTAAGGTCTACCGTGACAAAACTCTGTTGTTATAGTTTTTTTTTTTTTACAGTTCATATATGTTTAAATTATACAATTTCAACTAACGTCAGTGTAAAACAAGTCATTTCATGATCCGGGACTGATGTACGTTTGTGTTGGTTATAATTCCTAATCTTTTATGGTAAAACTTTGGGCTAGAGGGAGATAAGTCAGTTTTACTCAAATCACATCGGGACTAAGGTTAAGGTTAACGCAAGACAATTTTTATAACTTAGCGTGTTAAACATTCGTCATCTTTAAAAAGATTGGAAATTTATGATGTTTGTTACTTATTCAACACAGAATTAAATGTTCGTCTATAATTTCAATGAGAATATTTCGCTTAGAAAATATCATTTTATTAACAAACTACTTACATATTAAACATCTGTTATTTAAAAATCGATTACTTCAACATTGCATTTTTGTTCAACCATCATTTCGTATTCCGATAAATAAATGCCGGCAGATTTTATTTTTTAGCTCTTCTTCAGGGATACAATTGTATGAAATAGATGAAACGTGTGTGATATTCGGACAGAAGGTGCTTAAACCATAATAAACGTAATTAAGTTTTATGTTTAAATTTTGAGGTGAGTTTTAGGTGAGGAAAAATTATGATTGTTTTATTAAGAAAATTTGACAAATTTAGAAGTATACCTTTTTTCATCTCCATACCTCAATTTTAACGCCAAAGAAAATATTTTTTTAATAAATACTACATTTCTTTCATAATTTAGCGCAATTAAATAAACTATATGAATAATAAAAAATAAATGATTTTGTCTCTAAACTGCACATATAGATATGAAATTCAAACACGATTATTCGATCTCGGCAGACAAAAGGAAAATTAATAATTCACATTCAAGACATTTAAAAAAAATTAAATAAAATTGAAACTTAGATACTTTCTGTCGAATAAATGGTCTACTTAAACCATTTTTCAGACAAATAAGATTATTCACGAAATCAAACTATATATTTTTTTTCAACAAATTGACTATATTATTATATAAACTGGTTTTTTATCTTTAACTTACACTTTAAAATCACAGTAAAAAATTAAACGTAAAGCCTTTTATGAAAATAAATAAGCTATATTTTAAGTACATACAAATAAATTAAAAACACTCTCTTTTAAACTACAACGTAACAAAAATATAAAGATTCTCAAAATCATTTAAATTTATTTAAAAAAAAAAATTAATAACAAGAAATATTTAAAAAATATATAAGTTATTGCATAATTTGGATAGATCAATTTTTTGAAAGAAAAAATGAATTCGTTTGGGAAAAAAATATTGATTCATTTAAGTAAGGAAGGAAGTAATGTACATTCATTTAAGAAATGATTCAATAAATCTGTACTAATTTTTTTAAAGTCAAATGCCCGACTAAAATAATTTTTTTTCCAATAAATTTGTAACCTAATGATAAAAACTAATGAACTTATAACCTAAGATTAATGAATGAAATTGAACATAAGAAGCCGTTATACAACCTTTAAAGGTTCGACAAAAATAATAATAACAATAATAAATAAAATAGAAATCAATTGACTTCTGTAATCTTTTAAGCTTTAAATTGATATAGTCGAAATTCGTTTTAATTAAATTAGTTTAAATGAATACTGGAGAAAGAACACAAGATAAGATAATAGTTCTAAACGGGACCCCCTCGGAAGACCTGTTGCGTATTGTTGCATCATTTTGAAAAATAAATATCTTTGCAGTTTAAATCGGTTATAGCAACAAAAAATTTAATCGATACCGAACACTTATGACATAAATTTGCAAAACTCACCATTATGGCAGCACTTAGCAATCCTGATGACATGATACACTGGAACAGATTAAAAAAAAATACTTACTAAGGAGAACAAAAAAAAAAAAAGATACATCTTTAAAATCTTAAAAATAATCTATTGAAACTACTGCTATTGGCAACTATCTATTTCAAAATATTTATTTATTTATTAATACAGCGGTTTAGGATCTTCAAACCACTCGTTTATTTATGGTCTGTGCTAACATTACGAAAACATTTGACAAATATAAAACGTAATCTTAATTACAAAAACTATAAAATCAAATTATTTAATAAAAATTTAGAACAATAAACATTAGAGCAATAGCTAAATAAAGAAATGATGGAATTAGGATATTTTCTAAAATTTATAATTTTCGAATGATTTTTTTAAATAGTGATTTAAATTTTCAGGACGTCTTTAAAAAATGTGAAATAAAAAGATTAATTTATTTTAACATTTTTAAGAGAAGAATAAATAAGTTTTTTAAAAAATGGTATTTTTATTTTTAAATACTGCAACAAAGTAATAAATGCAAGATGGAAATTATGAAAAAAGTTGGGACCCTTTTGAGTATGAAGTTGAGATGATTTTTTTGACAGAAAACTTCGATAAAATCAAATAAACATAGCAAACATAAATAAAAAAAAAGAAGTATTAATTATTAATTGAAATTATAATATAATTACTTGAAATATACACTATTACTCCCTTGAGACGTCAACGAACGAGCTAATATGAAATAGTTGAAAACGGTTACTTCATGACTTTTTTCTATAGCCCAAAAATTTATGTTTATTTTTTACAACTTTTTTTTTATTCATACAATTATGTTTATCTATTATACATGAAGTTATCTCATTAATATTTCCGTTTTGCTTCAAACTAGATAGTGCAACAAACTTGAGAAAAGACCATTGATTTCATTTTGTATATTGATAGATAGAAACTCAAAACTTAACACTTTTTCTTCTAGAACCAATATTCAAATTTTACGAGATTTATTATAAATAACAATCCACAAATTGTTATTTATTTTCTAAACAGCCTTTCAATCTAACAACATTTATAAATCAACTATATAATAGGTCAAATATCCGCCTAAAATCCATAAATTTAAGAAGAAATACTTATTAAATTTGTATAATTACTGTTTATAAACGCATCTTGAACTAAAAGAATAAGTGAAGAGTTAATTTAAATATTTTTAAAATTATGAATTATAAAAATAGCATGTGTTGTTTTTGACTTAAAAAAGCACATATAAGATAATATAAAAAAGAATTTTAAACTAACACTTACCAAAAATGGTATCAGGAACATTTTTGACAGCATGTTAAGCCCGTCAAAAGGCATCTGAAAACAAAACAGAAAATAAAAACATTAACTGTTCAAAAATTTAATAAATATTACAAAAGTAACAAATAAGTTTTATAATTGAAATATCGTAGTTAAAAATAAGAAAGCCTATTTTTTTCCCCTCCAAAATTAAAAGAAATGAATTCTCATAATCATTTTTCTATCTTTAAATTGCGTACATGTTCTTTTAAAAAAATAAAGAATAATTTAAATTTATTTAATAGATTCTTGCTATTAATTTTGTGGAATACTTTCTATTATCTAACTTCTACAACTTTAATCAGAACGTTTACTTTCATTTAAGGAGGAAGCTTCCTCATTATGATAATTGCTGTCAAAGGCATTTGGTTCACTATTAATTAAGTGTTGCACCGATGGATTAATTTTTTACTTCTGAATCTGTAGTTCAAGTTAGGAAGTTTTTTTTTTTAAGTTGAGAACTGTTTTAATATTAGAGAATCACAACGATTAATATTTGTTGAATCAAAATAAATAAATAAAAATATATAGTGAAATGAAGAATAAAATTCAAATATTTTAGGTTTGTACTATCCACAGAGGGTTAATTCTAAAATTAAATAAAAAATCTTCAAAAAATTAGTCCGTCTTCAAGCTAATCATCTTTTGTTTTGAGAATTCAAAAATACATATTTAATAATAGGTATTAACAATAATAATTCTTTTAAATCTGTTGTTGAATGTTGAGGAAATTTTTCAGTTTGAGAACAGTTTTAATATTAGCGAATAACATTGATTAATATTTATCGAATACAAATAAATAAATAAAAGGATAATGAAGTATAGATTAAAATAAAAAGAAAATACAAATATATCTGGGTTATATTATCCATAGAGGGTTAATTCTAAAATTAAATATAAAATCTTCAACAAATTAGTTCGTCTTTAAATATACGATCTTTGGTTTTGAGAATTGAAAAATACATATTTAACAATAGTAAAAAACAATAATAATTCCTTTAAATTATTAAATAACAATATCATAATTCAAAGAAAAATAAATATCTAAAATTACTAATATTCCTACTTTGTGTTTTCTATTAGCGGCTAATAATAAAATAAAATTATAAACAAATGTCATTTTATTCTTTCGATTAAATTCGTAATATTTTGAGAATTATTATTATTATCATGCCTAATAACTATATATGACAGCGATTGATATTTAACAAAATACTTTAAAATAATTATTGTAATTTTAATTACAAAAACTAAAATATCTTTTAGTTTTTGATATAAGGGGGGGGGGGCAATGAAGAATTAATGATGCCGGCAACCTGTTGATATCGCAATACCGGCTTTCTATTGTAAGGTAGGTCAAGAATTTCTAACTTAAAAATTGGACAAAGGTTCACGATTTGTACGCGATTTTTCTACATTCTGCAATAAAATTTTTAATTAATTTAAAACAAATCTTTCAATAATCTGTTGAAGAGCATACGTTGCACTCATTTTTATAATCGTTATACTTACTTAAATGAGGGTAATAATAATATATTGGAAAATAATATATTATCGGTGATGTTCCAATAAAATTAAATGACATAATCTCAAAAGATTCTAGAAAACGGTACTAAATATATTATATAATTATATTAATTATTCTATTTATAGATATAGTTATAGTAATAAGCATAGGTACTCACTTTCAGACAGATGCAGTTCTGTGATGACAATATTAAAACTCGCTATCGTACGAGAGATGTTGACACAAAGAAGAACTGACACTGACTGACCGACACAGCTCCCTGTCCAAGACTGGTGACTCACGCGAACATGTCTCAGCAGGTTTGCCCCCACTCCACCAGTTGATACCTGCTTCTTACAAAGTCTGGTCCTCAGGTTCTTTTAAACTACGATAATAATGCCCCGTTTGAAGCAGCTCGTATATTTGGGCCAACCCGCTGCCTGCTGAACCCATATCTTTTTCAGTTTCAAACTTACCGAGGAAACAGCAACAATAATCAGCAAGTGAGAAAGTTGTCTGGTTACCCCCACCAGGATACCGTGGGAACTGAAGTGCAGGTGGTCGGATTAGGAGTTCAATAGCTATCATCTCCGACGTGAATGACTTAAAGCAGATTCCTTCAGATTAATACAAATATATTTTTTATTTAAATTAAAAAACATTTTAAATTTTAATATATAAATTTGACAAGTACAAAAACTTGAAATACCAAATGTCTCTTTAGAGTGGTATGGTATAAATGAAACTTATGGATTGCAGGACTATTAGTTATTAAACTGTTATTTTCCATTGTAAATAAAATGAAATAACGAGATTTTCATTACCTGCCATGGACAGGTCAAAAGTAGACACACCAACTGTAAGTGGATAATGTTTGTATTTCACAAAGCGAATGTTCATAAAATTATTCACTAATTTAATTTTCTAAAAGGTTACTTGATAATTTGTTGGAATAAACGGCCGATAGATACCCAATTATTTAAATATAATATCATATCTAGAGTTATTAAACTGCAGTAAATGTATGTAAGGTTATAATCATATCCATGAAATATTTTCATATTTCGCTTCTTCTTTCACACAAATACAATGAAATAGTATACTAAACAATGACATTGGCTTGATTCTGAGGATTTTAAATATTTTTTTTTTCAAACTTAGAAACAAATTTGAAAGTTTACATTTATTAAGAAAATTCCATCTAATTTCCTTGGAAACATGCGATTTACGTTAAATAATGGTAGTTTTCTGAAATAACTATTTATATGTTTTTCGTCACTCTCCGTTACTTTCTACAACTTTATTTATTTTATATTATTTTTCTATTATATGTATACCTTCTGACTGTTATTTCCGAAGATTCATTTTCAATCTGGATAATCATTTTTCTTTTTTTTTTCTCCAGTTTCCAATGCATTGTCTGTCACAGTACAATAATACAGTTAGATATTATATAATATAGATATTATAGTTTACTATAATATAGTATAGATATTATCTATTACATAACTTGTATCTGGGTTTAATAAAACTATATAATTAAACTGATAATTAATTGTGAATATTAAGGAAAGTTACTTATAGTTACTTAATGCCTATCAGTTAATGATCTATTAATTTCTTAAATTATCAAAGTATTTCATCTTCTTAACTTTCACGTTAAAAATATCTCCGAACCACACCTTTCTGTGAGCCATTCATTTAAACAATCGAGTTTATGTGATATTTATAAAATTAATCAACTAAAGACAAAGAAGAAGCATTACTGGTAATCTCAAAAATTCAATTTATCAATACAATCTTGAACAATACGTTTATACATTAATAATACATTGTAAATGTCTGACCTTTTCGTTTATGGTCAATATTTAATATATTTTGTTAAAATGTTTATCAATAAATTTTTTTGTGGGATTAGTAATGGTTATTGTTCTTTACCTATAACCGAGTAATTTTGAAGTTAAAAAAACTAAGGTGTGTGATTTAGACCACACGATAAAAGTGAAAACATCAACAAAGTGAGATTAATAATATGAAATAAAAATAATAAGTAATATCACATTACAAAGGAGATGAAATGCTAAACATTTCCTTCGCTTTCAGTATGCTGGTCCAGTTTTTAGTCTCTGAAATATTTTAATCCATATGCAAAAATACTTCAATTATCTGCAATAATCAGCTCGAGGTGTTTGTATATCCATATAATAACTTAAAAATCTAATCAATTATTATAATTAATGGGATCAGTTATGTATGTAGTCTGTATATTTGTGTACATATTATTGGAAACAAAACTCATGTAAGTACCAGATCCAGACTGAAACAATACCATGGTATATTATCATTCTATTTTATCTATTATACAATGTATAAAACCTAAATATGAAGGGTTAATTACTCGGCAAGGGAGTACTATTTCTTGATCAATTATTGAGAACAAGACTTTGCCATTATTAGGAACGACCAGTGGCGTATCTGGCAAGAAGGGCACGTGTTCTGGGAGCTATTCAAAGGGGGGACAAAATGCGCAAATTATTGAACTTAAAATGCAACTAAACCAATCCGGGCGGTATAGCATTCGTAAAACTCCCTAGGAATTTTTGTAAATTCACGCCATACAGTAAAAAATGTTATCCATATTCAATATGATGAAACATGCGGTCGGAATAGCGACAAATCGCAAATAGAACAAAATTGTAAAATTGCTTTCTGGACGATTGTGATGAGTTTTTCATTAAAAATGCTTGGTTTTTACATTCTGAAATTTGGTTAAATATCTATTCCCGAGCATCACGAATGAGCAACAGAGAATGACTGGTGTTCACAGGTATTCCATTCAAATTCTACTCACAACTTTAGTATCTATTAACGGATCCAGGATTTAATTTTTTTTTTTTGGGGGGGGGGGGAAGGCTTCAGCCCACAAGTCTTATATATATATATATATATATATATATATAATGATGATTACTTTGGAATAAAAAAAATAAACTAACTACCTATAATTAATGGTGTTTAATTGATCCTTGAGGTCCAATTAAATGTAATCATACGATCTATAATACATTTTTTTTTCATAAAACATGGTAGATCCGTCTGTGGCAGTATCCATCCCAAGTTGTGAGCGATCTTTGAGTTAGTTAAAATTAATAATTTCGGATCTGAGGGCTACAATGGGTCTAGGTAATGCGATCTAGCTTTGCTCAGTCTATAGAGAGAAGAAATGAATTAACTTCCTGAAATCTTCATCGATATTGCAGGCGTTGCAGAAGGACAGAAAAGTGCTGTTGCACGTGTAACGATTTTACGGAATTACTTTCGTTATAGAATATAAAATAAATATCCTTTGTAAGATTTATTTATTTATTCATTATATATGTTTTTTGTATTGAGAAAATTAACGTTTTACAATTTACAATTTTGATGCGTGCCCTATGAGCCATTTTTGATTGCTACTCCCCTGGACCACAATAACAATTCAGTAATGCAATAACTGGCTGAATTAGAGTAC